CGGGAGAAGTTACCACAGAGGCTGGTTGAGATTGAGGCTTTCATTAGGGATCCGTTCTGTGTAGGGTTTAGGGTTTAGGGTAGCCCAGTGAGAGCCTTTTCACTTTTTTGGGGGTTCAGGGTTCCCTGAGAAAGTAACCAACCCCCAAAATGGTTGCCCTTTTATAATATGGTTGCTGGGCTACCAAGGGATCTGATGTGTGAGGGTTGAAGTTTTAGGGTCCAGGTGTTACTTATCGACCTTTCAGGGCTAGAGGGGCTAGGGGGTCAGAGGGTTCGGGAAGGGAGTTGTCGTATCTTTCGCTGTGCATGCCGAGGCCACCTCAGATTATCCAGCAGCGTGGGGACGCTCCGACGCAAGTTAGTTGCTTACCTCTGTTCGACAGTTTCAGCTTCCGAGGCAACGGTTCGCAGGTACGGGTTTGTTCCTGTGTCGTAACTCGTTCTTCGAAGGGAACCAAGGATATACAAGAGCAGCCTAAACCCCTAAACCCTAAACCCGAAACCCCTAGACCGGCTTGGAGGGTTTTATTGCAGGGTTTCGGAGCAACTCATCAAACTCCATGACTCCCTTCTAAGAACTAGGGTTTAGGGCTCAGGATTTAGGGTTTGGGGAGTAAGGTGTGCTTGGTGGTGGGGGTGGAACGTTCGGATGTGTTTTGGTCTTTCCTGCACATTGGGGTGGGGGTTGGATGTTTTGGCGTTTAAGTCTTGTAGGGTTTCTGGGGCATTACTTTGAAGGGGTTTAGTGTTTGAGTTTCATGTTTGCGAGGTGGCTTGTTTTCGATGCCCTAAATCCTAAGCCCTGAATCCATAATCTTGAGGCAGCCGTAAACCCTAAACCCTAAACCCTAAACCCTAGACCCTAGACCCTAGAGCCTAAACCCCCTGATCCCATCTCCGTTGCTCAGGAAACCCTGGTCGAGGAGGAGCTCAGACAGGAGTTCATGGACATCCCCATCATCACGGAGGAGGCATGGGTTTGCGGCTTCATCTAAGCACTATCTGGAGACCCTCGACCCTAAGCGCCCCCAAACTCTCCAACCTTATGTGTACTTTGACCCCTATATGCCTATGCCCTGAACCAGCTCGGATGGTCCTGAGGCATAGAAGTCACGTGCTTGTGTGAAGCAGAGGCCCTACGTAGTGAGCTCTTAAAGAGTCAAGCCGCAGTTGCATTTTTAGATGTCTTATGTTGAGCCGTATTTGTCTGCGATGTGCGTGGCTGCAGTGACAGTATGGTTGACCATGTACTCGGACATCGCCGTGTGTCGGCAGATCCAGTATGTCGACATCCCCGACATCCACCACGTGGAGAAGATTGAGGAGATTTCCAAGGTCCATTGCCTAAACAGCAGGACCTTAAAACACCAACCCTAAAATCCTAAGCCCTTGAACCTTGCACCTGCTGCGCTTTCTCTTTGCCTCGACCGGAAACCCTTCCGAGCGCCAGAATGTAGGCTGTAAGTCCCAGACCCTCAGCTTTAACCTCCGTGTTAACCCTTAGACCCAATTTCGTGGAGGCGTTTTGGAGTCTCCGGTCAACCTAAACTTCAAACCCTGGAACCCTGAACCCTAGACCCTAAACCTTAATTCTAAACCCTAAACCCTAAACCCTAGACCCTAGACCCTAGACCCTAGACCCTAGACCCTAGACCCCAAACCCCAAACCCCAAACCCCAAACCCCAAACCCCAAACCCTAAACCCTAAACCCTAAGCCCCAAACCCCAAACCCTAAACCCTAAACCCCCAGCCTCCACTGATTACGGGACAGGTTGTCCCGGTCCCTTACGAACAGCTCGTGGAGGAGATCGTGAAAGTTCCCAGGCCAGGATCTCCGAAGCTAGTTAGGGTTTAGGGTTTAGGGTTTAGGGTTTAGGGTTTAGGGTTTAGGGTTTAGGGTTTAGGGTTTAGGGTTTAGGGTTTAGGGTTTAGGGTCTAGGGTCTAGGGTGTAGGGTCTAGGGAATAGGAATGTTTTGGGTTTAGGGTTCAGGGACTAGGGATTTGCAAGAAGCTGAAGCTTCAGGATTTGGGGTTTCGGTTGGTTTAGGGAGCTACTAGAAGGTTCATGGGTAGTTTGTGCAACTCGGGATATGCATAGGCTCACACGGTGTGGAACCTAATTCCATGAACCTGTAGCCACGGACAGGGCCTTTTTTGTCCTGGTCTCTCGGAGTGTTCTCAGCGCGAAGGGGCTCGAAATTGTGAGGATTCACGGTTTCGGGGTTTTAGGGTCTTGGGGTTTTAGCGCTGAAGGGTTTCGGGGCTTCAGGATTTCAGAGGTTTTAGGGTCTAACGCTTTCAGGGTTTCAGGGTTTTTTCGAGATTTAAGGTCGTAGCTTTTAGGGTTCTGCGATTGTGCTTTATAGCGCCTTTGGCAGGATCCTCAAGGAGGAGCGCGTGCAGCAGCGACAGGCAAGCAAGGGCTGGTGCATTGTGGGGATTTGCGAACAAAAGGGGCCCCTAATGTAGACCCCCTAAGTAGTAGGATTCCCTTAGAACAAGGACCCCAATAAAGCATCCTAATTTAGGAACCCCCCTTGTTTCTTGCTTTTTGTTTGCTTGCGGCATTTGTGGATGGCGGTTTGCCATGATAGTAACCAGAATAATCATAGGAGTCTCATATAGTCTCGTTATTGGCGGTAAGAGTAGCAAGCGTAGAAAGCACAATCGCGACAGGCGTCAAGGATGTGGTGTTACGCAGTCTCTTCCCAACCGACGCGTGCGCGTTGAACCTGTGCAGCGGAGCAATGGTGGGGGGCAGGCCTGTCATCTCTTTCTCGCGACTGTGTATGGGGGTTTCCGAAAATAGGGGTACCCTTTTTGAGCGGTTCCTACAATAAGGAGTATACCATTTGGGGTATATTTGGGGAACCCACTATTTTTGGGAAATGCCGGTATCCTGACAAAAATGCGCTTCGAAATTTTCTACGAGCTCTGCGGCGGGCCTTTGTCGAATGCCTTGGCTGGAGGAGCCTTGTCGAGCACAGCGATTTTGGCAGCCAAGCTTTCACATCGCTTGTCTCCACCCCCCCATGCGAACTGTCTGGCTGCTTGTAGGGTTTAGGGTTTGGTGTTTAGGGTTTAGGGTTTAGGGTTTGGGGTTTAGGGTTTAGGGTTTAGGGTTTAGGGTTTAGGGTTTAGGGCACGCGACACCTGGATTTTTCTCGAGCAAAGCAGGCAGATCCCCTTCACAAACAAAAAGCACGAGGGCCAACCAAGACGTCCTCTGCAGCAGCTGAAGCCAAGGCAGCCCGCCGCTCCTGCGAGCTCCCGACTTGTACTGTCTGCGTAAGAACCCCCCAAAAATAAAATATAAACAATCCCCTATTAAATACCCTTATAGGGAAGATCTCCATATTACCCTTATAGGGAAGAATATATATATATATATATTTACATAAATAAATAAATAAATATAAATAAATATAAATAAATAAATAAATAAATAAATATATATATATATATATATATATATATATATATATATATATTTTTTTTTTTTAATACAAAATTGTTTGGGGTTCTTAAGCAGACAGGAACCGTCCGCCACACCGTCCTCGTCTGGCTGCCACAGCAACAGGAAGAGCAGTTCGCGCACTTCCTCTATGGGAGAGCACACAAAGCCACCCATATAGGGGTATAAGTACTTAGGGTTTAGGGTTTATGGTTTCGGAGGTATGAGTTGGCATTATGTCCGAGACACATGACGCAAAGCTTGGAGTATGGCACGAGATGTTGTCAGATTGAACTTCGGACCCGTGGTTTATTCCTCACCTGGTCACAGCTAGAATACGCACTTCCGGGATTCTCCTGCTTTTTCGCGGCCTGCCGTCTGGCGACACTGACATCCCGTGACTTCCTGCGTTTCTTCCATGACTTGTGATGCGGGGGTCCTGCGATCCTGCTGCGCGTGTCCCAGACTCACCTAAACCCTTTATCCTAAACCCTAAACCCTAAACTTTAAACCCTAAACCTAACCCCTGACCCCTAAACCCTAAACCCTAAACCCTAAACCCTAAACCCTAAACCCTAACCCCTAAGCCCCAATTTCGCGCCCATCTTTCCTTGGACAGGTCGAGGTGGTCGTCGACATCCCGGTGCCTCAGGTCGTGGAGGAGGCCCCTGCTGGACACCTGACTGAGGGTTTAGGGTTTAGGGTTTAGGGTTTAGGGTTTAGGGTTTAGGGTTTAGGGTTTAGGGTTTAGGGTTTTAAGTCCCCAAACCCGAACAGCAAGAACCCCAGGCGTTTTAAGGTTCGCGGGATTCCTGCCTAGGAACCGGGCCATCTGCCATGCAGACCGTTTGATGGAGGCCATTTAAAGTTTGGGCTTTGAGGAGCAGGGGCTCAGAACGCTAGGGAGGTCATAGTACAAGGAGCACGGCCCTAAACCCTAAACCCCAAACCCCAAACCCTAAACCTTAAACCCTAAACCCTAAACCCTAGGCTTTCTTTCATGTGGAACGCCGCCCGGCCCTTGTCGCTTTCAGCCGCCGAGCTGCATGGAACATGGCGGCGCCCCGTAGGAGAAACACGAGCCCCCCCACAAGATGAGTTAACATAGGGGTCGGATTAATTACTAGTATTCCCTTATGGCAATGGTGCCTTTATAAATATATTCTAATAACCCCTCCAAAACCCTCCTCTAATTATTAAGGCCCCTATAGTAGAACGATGCCAACCAAAGGGACTCCATCAAAGAACGACAGCCCCTCCATGTCCCGTGAGTAGGGCGAGCCGAGATGGACATCGGGGCCAAGCCACTCTGATATAGCCTTGCCTGGAGTTTGCGAGCTTCTGTTAGGGTTTAGGGTTTAGGGGTTAGGGTTTAGGGTTTAGGGTTCTCTGAATCCCAAAACTTAGCAGCCTGTCTTCCGCCATCCTGGCCCAGGAAGGGATCTTCACCCTCAGGCGCCAACCCAGATCACCCCAGCCGGGTTCCCCGGACCCCCCCCCCCCCAGCATGATGGTTGACTGCGCGCATGCCTAGCCACCGCTATGCCGCCGACCGACCTCTCCACGCGCACGGCGCGGTTCTACGACGCGCCCTGGACTGCAGAGTGCAGCAGGTCTTTCCAAAGAGCCCAATACTCCTTAATCAAGGAATGTTCCTCAAATCATAATAAGGATCCCTTTGTGATTTAAGGTATTTTCCTTAATTAAGGGGCATTGGGCTCTCTGGGTTTAGAGCAGGGCTTTGCGCTTTGCGTTCGGGAAGTGTGGGTGTAGGCTGCTTAAAGCCCTAAGCCCGCCTTAAGCTCCAAAATGCCTAAACCCGAAGGCTTCGGTAGAGGTGAAAAGGCTAGTTAGGGTGCAGACTCTGGCTACTGCCAAGCTGCTTTGTGCCAGTCCATTTTGTTTTCGTTTAATTTGATCTTTCAAGCGGTTGAAAGTTACGCATTAGTTGAGTCTAGAATTGTCTTGTTGCCTCTCAGCTGAACAGTTCGTGTAGAATACCCTCTCTAGATCATGAACACAACCTGGGAGTTTTCAAATCACGAAGTCCCCCACACCTTAACCGCTTTGGTTATCGTGGCCATCCTTGTCGCGGGGGTGGTCCTTGCACAAATACGTGGGGAGTACTGCTACACAACAAAAGCAGTAAACCCAGCATACTGACAGCCATTGTACTTGCTATAATCATATTGCGCTTAGCGATCACATGATACCAGCCTGTAGAAATCGTTAGTGTTCTAGCTAGTGCAGCTTCCTTGTATTATGGGCACCGTCATTCTTACCATTGTCATGTTGTGCAACCGCTGTTTTAAGATCTTAGCAGCCCAAACCCTGAACCCCCACAGCCGTAAGCCCTAGGAAGATCCTGAAACCTGAGCCAGAACCCAAACCGTAAATTCTCGGCTCTCAACCCTAACCCCCCCAAAGAACCCTCAACCCTCAAAACTCTAAACTTTAAACCCCCAACGTCCTCAATCTGAAAGCCCGAAACCCTCAACCCGAAACCCAAAATCCTCAACCCTCATCCCCAAAATCCTCAACCCGAAGCCCCCCAGAATCCTCAACCCTAAACCCCTAATCCCGAAACCATAAACCCCTAAACCCCTAAACCCTAAACCCTAAACCCCTAAACCCTAAACCCAAAACCCAAAACCCTAAACCCGAACTCCCCAGGTATCGGCGGCCGACCGCGATGCGGCGGCCGAGGCGGCGGCCACCAACCTCGCGGTACAAGGCGTGGCTCTCTTTGGACCCTTTTTGGGGGTCTGGGGTTCAGGGTTTAGGGGTTAGGGTATAGGGTATAGGGTTTAGAACCCTAGGGTGTAGTGTAGCCCAGTGGTGCCGTTTTTTCCCTTTTTGGTTGGTTCAAAGGTTCCCTTCTAAAGTAACCAACCCAAAGCAAGGGTGCCCTCATTATAGTATGGTTGCTGGGCTACCAAGTCGGGCTTCGGATTAAAGACTTTGTTTTTGTTTTTCACAGGGGTGTCATGTTCAGGGCCCCAAGCCCTCACTCAGAGTGCCCTTGCTGCGGTGCCACACCAGCCGCCTCGCGCTTTCCCCACCTCGCCAGCTCGAAACTTGTCACGGGCCCTCGGGTTTCGGGTTGTGGGCCATAAAGCCTAATCCCTAAACCCTATAGCAGCGCGTCACCCTCATCCCCGCAGAATTCCACCACCTTGTGAAGGCTTCTGCATCTTAGACTGTGGCTTCAAGGACAAGAAGAAGGACGGACCTCCCCCAAACCCAAACACTGAAGCACCTGGGACTAGGGTCCGGTCTGGAGATTTTGTGTTTGGGGTTGTGTGTTTATGGTTTGGCAAGCTTTGCTTGGGGTTTAGGGTTTAGGGTGTATATAAGGCTCATTTGGGTTGAAGGGTTTGTTTTTTTTGTTGGGTCGGGGAGTGTGCAGACTTAACCCATGCTGGGGACGAGGTCTCTTGAGGCTAGCGCTGTGGCCGCCTCGGGAGTAGAAATAAGTCGGTGTCATATGTACCTTCGGTTGGCGTATATGAGTGCCCTAAACCCCTTTTAAACCTTCTTCTAAGTACACAGGAACTTTCAACGAGAGCAGCAATGGGTTGCAGCGGCTTTCAGGGGGCCTCCAACGACTTTCACTTCCAGGGGTTTAAGGTTTAGGGCTTAGGGTTTAGGGTAAAGGTTTAGCGTTTAGAGTTTAGGACCTTTGGGGGGGCCCATCGAAGTGGCAAAAATAGCCAGGCAGCAGCGAATGACCCACTGCTCCCGCCCTGTGTTCTATGTACAGCGGTCTTTACCCGACCCTGCGACTCCCTTTAGATCCTACACGTCAAGCCCTCAATCCTAAACCTTAAACCCTCAACCCTCAGCCCTAAACCCTCCACCCTCAACCCTAAACCCTCAACCCTCAACCCAAAGCCCTAAACACCAACCCTCAACCCTAAACCCTCAAGCCCCAACCCCCAACCCTCAGCCCTAAACCCCTTTAAACAAACCCTCTTGGGTCTAGCCTAATATTACGTGCCCCCCAAAACCCTAAAACCCCTGAAAACCCCCAAAACCCTGCAAAAAAACCCCTTCCCTTACAACCCCTTAAAACCCCTTTAAAGCTCCTTAAAACCCCTAAAAACCCCTAAAAACCCTTCGGTGCTGCTTGTCGGGCTTCTTTTCGGGGGTTGGTGCGGGGTTTGGGGTGTCTTAATATTACGGCAGCCGGCTGGATCTCCTGAGGCCCCGGGTTTTCTCCCACACGTGGTTTTTCCCTGGGCTGGTTTGGGGCTGAGCACAAGTCTTGCGACAATGCACGATTTACGCACCAAACCCCTAAAAGCACCTAAAAAAACCCTAAGAAGCCCTTTGAAAACCCCCCAAAAACCCTTTAAAGAACCCGTTAAAAAACCCTTTAAACAACCCTTTAAAAACCCTTTAAAAAAGCCTCAGAAACGTAAAAGAACCCTTAATTTCCAGGAGGTTTTGGAGAAGGCCAAGGCCGATGCCGCAGCGCTGGACGAGGCCGAGGCCTTCTACCGGCCCGAGGACACGGCGACTTAGGGTTTGGGGTTTAGGGTTTAGGGTTTAGGGTTTAGGGTTTAGGGTTTAGGGTTAAAGGGTTTAGGGTTAAAGGGTTTAGGGTTTCGGGTATAAGGGTGTCAAGGGTTCTGAGTGTTAAGGGTTGTTTGACAGGGTTATTGTCCTTTTAAGGGGTTATTCTAAGGGTTTCATATGGGTTTTGGGGTTCGAGGGTTTCAGGGCTTAGGGTTTCAGGGCTTTAGGCTTGTCATCGCACAGTCCGCACCCATGGCAGCTGAAAACAAGGGGTTTGGGGTGTTGTGGTTTAGGGTCTGTTGGATCCCCTAAATCCTAAACCCTAAACCCTAAACCCTAAACCCTGAACCCTGAACCCTAAACCCTAAACCAGGGCTCGGGGATTGAAGGATGGATGTGACCAAAACCGCATCGCAAATGAAGGGTTCAGTTAGGGTTTCAGGGTCTTGGGGGGTGAAGCACAGGTGTGTAGGGGTGTAGGGGCCCAAAGGGGTGTAGGGGGCCAGTGCAGGAGCTTGTGTTCAGCGGCCTCTTCGGCGATGAGGGCTCCGCAGAAGGGCTGCACGAAGGGTTTAGGGTTACGTACCCCCGCAGCTTCTTGAGGTTCGGCCCCTAAACCCTAAACCCTAAACCCTAAACCCTAAACCCTAAACCCTAAACCCTAAACCCTAAACCCTAAACCCTAAACCCTAAACCCTAAACCCTAAACCCTAAACCCTAAACCCTAAACCCTAAACCCTAAACCCTAAACCCTAAACCCTAAACCCTAAACCCTAAACCCTAAACCCTAAACCCTAAACCCTAAACCCTAAACCCCCTAAACCCTAAACCCTAAACCCTAAACCCTAAACCCCTAACCCTAAACCCTAAACCCTAAAAACCCTAAACCCCCTAAACCCTAAACCTAAACCAAACCCCAAACCCCAAACCCCAAACCCTAAGCCCACATACACTGATCAGCTGGGGCGGGAAAATGGAAAATAACCAGCCCTCAAACCCCAAACTGCCCTAAACCCTAACCCCAAATCCTTCAAGCAAAACCCTAAACCCCTAAACCCCGAAACCCCTAAACCCCCTAAAACCCTAAACCCCCCCCTAAACCCCGAAACCCCTAAAACCCCTAAACCCCTAAACCCCTAAACCCCGAAACCCCTAAAGCCTAAACCCCTAAACCCCTAAACCCCCTAAACCCCTAAACCCCCCCCTAAACCCTAAACCCCTAAAAACCCCTAAACCCTAAACCCCTAAACCCTAAACCCTAAACCCCTAAACCCCTAAACCCTAAACCCCTAAACCTAAACCTAAACCCCCTAAACCCTAAACAAAAACCCCTAAACCCCTAAACCCCTAAACCCCCTAAACCCCCTAAACCCCCTAAACCCCTAAACCCCTAAAACCCTAAACCCCTAAACCCCTAAACCCCTAAACCCCTAAACCCCTAAACCCCTAAACCCCTAAACCCCTAAACCCCTAAACCCCGAAACCCCGAAACCCCTAAACCCCTAAACCCCACACCCCTTCAAAGCCTCCGGCGTCTCTTGAGGCCCGCATCGCGCCGCTGTCCCTGAAGGAAGAGCCTCTGCGGGAAGGCTCCGAAGGGGGCCCGAGGGCGTGCGGGGGTTTAGGGTTTAGGGTTAGGGTTTGGGGTTTAGGGTTTAGGGTTTAGGGTTTAGGGTTTAGGGTTTGGGGTGTAGGGTTTAGTTTTTTTTTTTGGTGTACTGTTTCGGAGTTTTAGGGTTTTAGGGCTTTTAGGGTGTAGGGTTTTAGGGTGTTAGGGTGTCGGGTTTCGGGTTTGGGGTTTGGTGTTTGGGGTTTTGGGTTTAGGCTTTGGAGTTTGGTGGTTGCGGTTTTAGCTTTGGGGTTTGGTCTCCGGGGTTTAGGCGTTAAGGTTTAAGCTTTAGCAGCTGGTCCAGTTTTTTGTTTCTATGATTCGAGCGCGTGACCTTTTGTCAAATCACAATCACTAACCCCCCTATAGTACCCGTGGACTTTGCTTTCTTTTCTTTGTGACTAATCTGTTCTCCGTCCGGCTAGGGGTCGCATGTCTGCTTCAGAAGCTGCGGAGGAACCTGAGGCTGTACGGCACACACTTTATGCCAAAAGGCGAACCGGTTTGAGAAAGAGACAGTGGTCAGGGAGGTGGTTTGAGTAAGCTTCAGAGTGGGTGGAGTTTTAGTAAGCATGAGAGAACAGGAATTCCAGCCTTGGAAGGCATGAGGGACCTGTGCCAAAAAATTGCCAGCTGCCACAGGTCAGCCGTGTAAGCACTCTGGAGAATCTAAGGATTCCTGTACTTTCTTTTGGGTTTTATTTGTACCAAAGAAGCGCCCTGGAGCTTCTTGTGCCATCAGCTTGCTGCAGTGGACCTTTCCTGCTGCTATCCCGAAGATGCTAAAGCCCCAGCCCGCAGCTCGGGCTGCGACCTGGTTGCAAGGTTTGAGCCCCCAACGATAAAGGCATATAGAGGCTCCAAGCTCCAAACCCCTGAGCCCGAAACCCCACAAAACTCAGGAGAATCAATAAAGCAATCGTGGCAGCACCCTTTTCTTCATAAAGACGCAAGCGCAAGTACGAGGCCTCAAGGCCCTGGATGACGAGATGACCGAGCTTGCTCAGGCGGTCCGGGATTTGGATTTAGGGCAAATATGACCGTAAGTAGGGTTTAGGGTTCAGGGTTGAGGGAACAGGGTTAAGGGGTTATTATAATCATTTCTGGTGATAACCCTAGGACCCAGAGCAGGCCCTCAGTTCCCTTATAAGCCCTTTAAACCAAGAAGGGCACCCTCTTTATTCCTAGGCAACTCTTGGGTCTAGAGCCCTACTGACAACTAATTACTCATGATCCTTCAAGTGGGGGGTTTGTCCGGAAGGCTTCCGTTGTGGCATTCTGGGGTTTTCCACTGCCCCAGTATGTCGAGTGAAAGCTTCAAAACCGGGCGTCCTCAAAGTACGGCATGAACCCTAAACTCGGAACCCTAAACCCTAAACCCTAAACCCTAAACCCTAAACCCTAAACCCTAAACCCTAAACCCTAAACCCTAAACCCTAAACCCTAAACCCTAAACCCTACACCCTACACCCTACACCCTAAACCCTAGACCCTAAGTGCACTCCGCAGGTCACGGCACCCTTCATCTCCTTCAAGATGGGCTTAGAAATCGTCTCGAGAGCCCGCGCGACGTGGCCGCAGGTTTGTTTAGGGCTGGCTTACTTGGAATTTCATTGAGGGTTTGGGACTTTTAGGGTTTGATTAGGGAGCGCCTCGGCCGGGGCCTGCCCATTGTCGAGGCAATCCTGTTGTAACACGTAGGCTCACGTATCGACCAGGCACCCCAAATGTGTGAGAACAAGAGGTGAGGGGGTGGCCTTGAAAGGAGACGGGGAAAAAGGAGGGTGGGTGTGGGGGGGGGGGGGGGGGGGGGGGGGGGGGGGCAGGGTGGGGTGGCGGGGCCGGGGGTGGCGGGGGTGGCGGGGGTGGCGGGTGGGTGGCGGGGTGGGGTCGTGGTGGCGGTGGTGGTGGGGTGCCCCAACGGCATGATGAGGTGCCCCAACGGTCATGATGCACCGTGCGCCCCGCACACCGGGCCGGCGGAGCTTTAAGGGCATAGGATGGTGTAGGTTTAGCTGTAGGGTTTGAGTTCAGCGTTTAGGATTTAGGGAGTATATATAGGCCCTCATTGATAAGCCCCTTTCCCCAAAAAGGGCATCCCTGTTTATTCCTAGGTTGCGCTTGGATCCCCAAATCCTAAACCCTAGACCCTAGACCCTAAACCCTAAACCCTAAACCCTAAACCCTAAACCCTAAACCCTAAACCCTAAACCCTAAACCCTAAACCCTAAACCCTAAACACTAAACACTAAACACTAAACACTAAACACTAAACCGACCCGAAACCCTAAATCCTAAACCCCAAACCCTAAACCCTGATTCTAAAAGAAGAGTGCGTAAGCTCAGCCCAACTTATCGGCACCGCTGAGTCCCTGAGCCGCCAAGTCGCGCCAAGGCGGTTCTTCACGAGACCGGGCCCCTTGAGGGGATCATACAGAAGCTGACCCCGGGTGAGGCTCCTGTAGGGTTTTTTTAAGGTTTAAGGTTTAGGGTTTAGGGTTTATGGTTTTAGGGTTTAGGTTTGAGGGTTTAGGGATCTAGGGTTTTAGGTTTTAGGGTTAGACAAGGCTGGATACGTGCCGGTACCCGCAGGTCAGAGTTTAGAGTTGAGGGAGAAACCTCATAATACAGGTTTCTTGCTTCCCAAACATTCAGGGGATGGGGTGGGCAATAAGCAAAGGCCTGTTCCCCACCTGAGTTGCTTGAACCCGATTGTTGAGGCTTGGGGACAAGTAGGGTTTTTTGTAGGGTCAACCCCAAACCCCCAAACCCTAAACCCCAAACCCTAAATCCTAAACCCTAAACCCTAAACCCTAAACTCTAACCCCAAACCCTAAACCCTAATCCCTAAACCCTAAACCCTAAACCGCGGCTCTAACCTTACTTACAACCCAGTGAAACCCGAGCCAGGCGTCGATGTGGCTGAGCGACTTCCGCTTCGGGCGAGCGCGGTGCTCGGCACAAAGGGCTTAGGGTTTGGGGCTCTCAACCTTAAACCCTAAACCCTAAACCCTAACCCTAAACCCTAAACCCTAAACCCTAAACCCTAAAACTTAAACCCTAAACCTTAAACCTCAAACCCTAAACCCTAAACCTTAAAGGGTTTAGGGTTCCGGGTTGAAGGCGGCTTAGGGTTACCGGCATCAGGTTATAGATGCCAATGGTGGAACTTCCAAACGCCCAAAGTTCGGGGCCCAAAGACCACATAAACGCAAGGATCCCACTGTTGGGTGTAAGAAACAGTGCCACGACAGGGGGATTCTGGGAAACCCTGTTTCTATCCAGCTGCTCCTGGCCTGGGAGTGACTCAACCTAGGGTTTGGGGCCTCAATTCGGGTTTAGGGATTTATGGTGCAGGACGCCTTGAGTGAGTTTAGACTCTACAGTTTAGGGTTTAATGCTGTAGGCTTGGGGTTTGGGGTTCAGAGCTCGGGATTGGGAAAAGTCGAGCAGTGATTGTTGAGGCAGGAAGTTCCCTAACCCGAAACCGAAGCCGAAATCCCGAAGCCCGAAGCCACAATGGCATAGGCTGTGCCAACCCAAAACCCAAAACCCAAAACCCTAAACCCTAAACCCTAAACCCTAAACCCTAAACCCTAAACCCTAAACCCTAAACCCCTCAGCCTGCGCTAGGTCCTCTGCGTCGTGTGTATCGGCCCGGGTTACGGCGAAATGGAGCTGAAGCCGTACGCCGAGGTCGCCCCTCCGATTTTGTCGCACTTGAGAAGGTTCGTGGGTACTTTTAGGTAAAAGCCCCTACCAGTTGCTTAAGCATTCAAAATATTCTTCCTTGTAATTATAAGGGTAATATAGGTATTACTCTCTTTCATGTTTTTTTTGGGGGAGGTTCTTAAGCAAATAGTAGACCCTCAACTGGAATACCCAGTAGTAAGTACCCTTAGCCCCTTTCAAACGGATAGGCTCTAAAATCTGACTAAGCAAAACAAGGCACACTCTTGCTTCTTATATTGCTAGGGGAACTTAGGCTAAGGTACGTAGAGCCCTCCTTACAACCATTCATGAACCTGTAAGTAGATTTCGTTTAGGGTTTAGGGTTTGGGGTTGGGGGCCGGGGGTTTAGGGTTTGGGGTTTAGGGTTTAGGGTTTAGGGTTCAGGGCAATCAGGGCACTAGAGTCTACGTAAACCCTAGGCCCCCGGCCCTGAGACCGAAGCATTCCTCAGCCTTAAGCCCTAAAAACCCTGAGCCTCAAGAAACCCGAAACTAAACAAAAACACTTCAACCCATAAAGCTCTAACCCCTAAACCCAAAACCCAAAGCCCCCAGACTACTGGACCCTACTTGGAGGTCATGGGTAGGTTTATTTTATCATTGGGGCCAGAAGTAGGGGAACTACAGTTATACTTGGTTGTAACCGTATGTAGGGTACTCATCACCCGGTTTATAACTACCCCTGAACTTAGAGGTAAGCCCTAAACCCTACACCCTACCCCCTACACCCTAAACCCTAAACCCTACCCCCCGTACCTTTGAAGCACCAGCGCAGGTGGATGCCAAGCCCTTCAAAGTCACGGCAGCCCCTGGCACCGCCAAAGCCTCGGAGACGTCGTCCGCCGTCCCTTCCGGACTTCTGGGCCCCCCAAAAATCCCCTTAAAAGGGTTTAGGGTTTAGGGTTTAGGGCTAGGGTTTAGGGGTTTCGGGTTTAGGGTTTAGGGTTTAGGTCTTAGGGTTTGGACATTTGGTTTTGGGAGAAGGCGGCAAGATCTCAACCTGTCCCCGACTGTGAGCTTCAGGTTTTGATTCAGGGTGTAGATCCCCTCGAGATCCTTCGAACCTAGAACCCTAGGGTTAGGGTTTAGGGTTTATGGGCTTATGGGCTTATGGGCTTATTGGGCTTATGGATTTGTGGACCATAAATTAAACGGTTGAGGGCTACAATGGGCTCGAAACCCCCAACTCCAGTATTTCCCTTTCCTCGGGTTCCCCCGAAGTGCTGCAAAAACTCCACGTTTTGCGGCTGCGGTGTGGGGGCTTCGGGCTTAGGACCTCTTTCGGGTTGTGGGATTTTTCGGGTTTGGGGATAGGGGTTTAGTTGGTTTAGGGTGTGCAGGATATGACCTCTAAACTACTTCCCGTCTGTCCCTAAACCCTAAACCCTAAACCCTAAACCCTAAACCCTAAACCCTAAACCCTAAACCCTAAACCCTAAACCCTAAACCCTAAACCTAAACCCTAAACCCTAAACCCTAAACCCTAAACCCTAAACCCTAAACCCTAAACCCTAAACCCTCAACCCTCAACCCTCAACCCTCAACCCTAAACCCTAAACCCTAAACCCTAAACCCTAGGTGCTGATGATCCGATCCGACAAGCTCCGCGCCAGACATCTCTGCCGAACGCGGACGCTCTTGCTTAGCTGCCTGGCGAGAGCCGACAGGATGTAGGGTTTAGGGTTTAGGGTCTGTGTTGGGGATCCTTTTTTTCAGGGGGCCCTACTTGTATAGACTCCCTTGCGGCAAAAACCCTTGAAAACCCTTGCAAGCTTGTAAAGCCCCCTAAATATATCCTCGACCCTGAGCCCTAAGCCCTAAACCCTAAACCCTAAACCCTAAACCCTAAACCCTAAACCCTAAACCCTAAACCCTAAACCCTAAACCCTGAACCCTAAACCCTAAACCCTAAACCCTAAACCCTCGAGTTGAACCCCTTTTTGCTTCTGGTGCTCCTTGAGCTCCCAGGCTGCAACCTCCAGGCCTCCGCGGCCACCAACGCGCGGCTGGCGCCGAACCCCTGCGCTGGGAAGCTCCAGGCATGGTTTAGGGTTTAGGGTTTGAGGGTTTAGGGGTTTAAGAGTTTAGGATTTTGGGGTCAGGGTTCCCTCCCCCCACCAATTATTTTTAAGGTTGGCGTGAAGGGCGTTTATGTTTTTTGTTTTGTTTCGAAGTTTAAGTGCATGGGGGGAGGGGGGTTTGAGAGGGGCTTAGGGGATGGAAGGGTTTTTCTGGGGGGATGGGTTGTTTGGTAGAAAGAAGGGTTTAGGGCGATGGCTTGTGGAGATTGGATGCCTTGGTGCGGGGGGGGGGGGGGGGCTTCGGGTCTCAGGGATGAAGCCTGCTCTGAGCCCACGAGCTGTGCAGCAAGCGAGCGTGCCCAAATGTCTGGGATGCTGTTCCTTTGACTGTGAGGGCCCTGCAAGTTAGTTGTTTGGATGTGTTGCGTTGATTGAGTTCCTTCTCACGAGTAGTAGTGCAGCTGGTCTGCAACGTGACCCAGGCAGTCTCAGCATGCGTTTTCTTATTCAGAGTCTGAGTCGATGCAGGTTCTCATATAAGCCAAGTTTCCCCCAATCGCCCAATGCCCCTTAGTACTGGGTCTAGGCTTCCCGAAACACTTCCTGGGTGCCTCCTGTCTTACAACCCCCTTTCCTTAGGAACCCCGCACGTTCCCATATCTGGCCAGAATCAGGGCTGCCGGATCCGTTCTGGCAACCCTATGCCCTCCCCTAAACCGAAATCTTTCAACCCTTTGCCCTGTGATCCCTGGGGGTGCGGGGGAAAAAGCCAGGAGTGGCTGGACGCGCGGCTGCGCTACCTCAAGTCCGCGGCGACTGGGCTGCGTTTGGAAGGGGGCTTGTGATGTGAGATCCGCAAGCGCAAGTGACTCCTTATGGGGTCTTGGGGGTGTAGGTTCCTGTCTTCCATGAGCCACTCACAACCCTGCAGCTCCTTTAAATGCAGCCCCCCAAAGCGCCAACATTAGTTGCGACTTGAACTGACTAACGCCGAACTCTGAACTCCCAAGCGCCCCTAAACCCCAAACCCCAAACCCCAATCCTAAACCGTAAGCCGTACATCGTAAACCGTAAACCGTAAACCGTAAACCCCAAACCCCAAACCCCCAACCCCAAACCCCAAACCTAAACCCCAAACCCCAAATGCCAAAACCCCAAACCCCAAACCTCAAACCCTAAACCCCAAACCCTAAACCCCAAACCCCAAACCCCAAACCCTAAACCCTAAACCCTAAACCCCAAACCCTAAACCCCAAACCCTAAACCCTAAACCCCAAACCCCAAACCCTAAACGCTAAACCCCAAACGCCAAACCCCAAACCCCAAACCCCAAACCCTAAACCCTAAACCCCGAAGCCCTAAACCCCAAACCCTAAACCCTAAACCCTAAACCCCAAACCCCAAACCCCAAACCCCAAACCCCAAACCCCAAACCCTAAACCCTAAACCCTAAACCCTAAACCCTAAACCCCGAAACCCTAAACCCTAAACCCTAAACCCTGCACTGCCAGGAAACAGAGGACCGGCGGGCCGAGCTCCCCCGCCACCTGCGGCTGACAATGCGCCGCGGCGTTTTTTGGGGGGCCTGGAGCCCCCAAGTTAGGGTTTAGGGTTTAGGGTTTAGGGTTTAGGGTTTAGGGTTTAGGGTTTAGGGTTTTAGGGTTTAGGGTTTAGGGCTACTTGCAGGTTCATGCGTAGTTATAAGCAGGGCTGTAAGCAAGGTAACTATAGGTATAACCTTGTTTAGGGCACGTAGAGCCCTACTTGTAGGGTTTAGGGTTTGGGGTGTAGCGTTTGGGGTTTAGGGTTCAGGAGGTGTGGGATTTTCAGGTTGGTTTAGTGGGGGTTGGGGAGGTTCAGGGGGGTTTGAAAGAAGGTTGAGGGGTTTAGGGTATGCACACCTTCTTTCCGGGGAAGACCAAGGGTTTTGGGAAAAGAGGTGTTTGGGGTGTTTGGGGTGGGAGGGCTGTAGGGTTTAGGTCGTAAGGTTTAGGTGGGATGGCAGGGGGCAATTCAGGGGTTACAAGGGGTGTTCGGGGAGGTGTGAGGGTTGGTAGGGGAGGTGTGAGGGTTGGTACAGTTTAGGGACCCAGGGTCCCTAAACAATACATAAAGAAATGCCGCAAGCCCTCCCTGAACCCTAAACCCTAAACCCTAAACCCCAAACCCTAAACCCTAAACCCTAAACCTTAATTTCGAAGTGCGGGTCCCCTTTATGGTTAAAGGTATATTCCCTAGCTGAGGGACTATGGGTTGGTTCGACATGAAGCCCCCAAACCCTGAACAAATTCAAGTTTAGGGTTTAGGGTTTAGGATTTAGGGTTTAGGGTTTAGGGTTTAGGGTGGGTTTGGGGTCGTAGGGTGTTAGGGTTGCTTGGTTTGAGGAGTCAGTTTAGCGTCTAGGGAGTTGTGGGGCGGAAGGCTTAGGTCTCTAGGGGAACACGAATGAGAGGGTTTCAGGGGCCAAGCCTAGATCGGCTTAGGGTTTGGGGTTTAGGGTTTGGCGTTTAGGGCTTGGCATTTAGGGCTTGTGGGGTTTCAGAGGGAGTTGGGCTTGGGGTTGAGGCTCTTCGGGCTTTGGGCGAGTGGAAGAAGATCTGCCCAGGAACCGCCAGTGCTTCAAAGGTCAGTACATGGCAGTCAGAGGCGGGACTGGGGATTTTTAGGGTTTACGACTGTTTGCTTAAGAACCCCAAAAGAACAAAAAAAAGTAATCCCTATATTACCCTTATAAGGAAGAGTGTTTTTATTGTTTTGGGGTTCTTAAGCACTTAGTAGTTTAGGGCTTAGGACTCCTGAAGCCCAAAGGGGGGGGTATCAGGGTTTCGGGGCCAGCCTGCCGGTACAAGGAGATCAGGGCAGCATTCTATCAGGGACCCAACGCATGGGCCAGGCTTCTGAAACGCTACCACATAGGGTTGAGGGATGCGAGCCCTACACCCCAGACCCCCCCACCCGAACCCGGCAATACGAAACCCTAAACCCCCAAACCCCGAAAGCCCTCGAACCCTAAATCCCAAACCCCAAGACCCAAAAAACTCCTCAGTCGAGAGCTCTCGAGAGGCCTCGCGAGCCGCATCTCGCCCTGTTGGGGTCCCGAGACGTTCTGGTGTGGCGTGGCGGCCCAGTCGTGGCATTTTGCTGCCCTAAACCCTGTAAACTCTAAGCCCTGAACCCTAAACCCTACCTGTCAGGGTTCAGGGCTTAGGGGTCTACTTGAAAGGTGCTTCAGCTATAAGTGGGATAGCTGTGTGCATAGCCCTTATCAAGGTAGCGATCAATTTTCTCTCACCCTTCGAGCAATCACATTTTAGGGGTTCTAAGGGCCTAGAGTCCCCGGGCCTTAAGACGGCCTACATAAAACCTTCAACCCTAAAGCCCTAAACCCTAACCTAGGCAGAAGATCTTCCTGCAAGACTCCAAACCAGTGTGGGGCCTTACGACCCCGCACAGCGTGTAAGCCTTTTCGCAGGCTGGCTCAAAGGGCGCCCTAAGGGGCGTCCCCTAAGAGGGTGTGCCCTGAGATCCCTCGCCATGCTCTTCCTGCTGTCGAAGCTGTGTTTTGCCGCTCCTCTCTTCGTGCACCCTGGCGAGATGTAGCATGTGGGGATCAGGGTTCAGGGATCAAAAAAGGAATCAGGTTGTGAGGGTCAAGTTCAGAGTTCGCCGACGTTCCTTCGGATTCAGTTTCGTCGACCTGGTCAACTTAGAATGCGCTCTGAGCCTGAAACCCTAATCCCGAAGCCCTAAACCCTAAACCCTAAATCCCAAACCCCAAGCCCCAAGCCCTAAACATTCGTGATGCCTGCAGACTCGAGGATCCCAAGCCCTGTGATCGTTTCTCAAAAACACCGAAAGGAACCCTATGATCCCTGAACCCTAAACCCGAAACCCTAAACCCTAAACCCAAAACCCTAAACCCTGAACCCTGAACCCTGAACCATAAAGGGCTTTAGGGCCCTAAAGGGCCCCAAAGCCCTGCCCTAAACGAAGGCCCTTAAGCCCTGGTTGCAAGGTGCATATGGGTATTCCGCAGGGTTATCTGTAGGCTAGCTGGGTTTAGGGTTCAGTGTTATTCGTCTTTTTAGGGACTAGTCAATGGTGTATCGTGCACGCTTCCTGACTTTCGCGCTCCTGAGCCTCCAAAGGACAGGGTAGATGCAGGGGCCCTTAGTATCGTAACTTAACCTATAGAATTTATTTTGTAAAGCCTGAGCCCAAACCCCACACCTTAAGCTCTGAAACCTAAGCTCTAAACCCCCAACCCAGCTCAGGCACTTGGCTCATGGGGGTGGTTTCATCGTGGCGCCCGTGGAAATGCTGAAGCAGCGGCTCGGATTCTGTGCAGTCTGATGGCTTCAAAACCCCAGACTTGAGCCGAAAAATCCCCCAAGCACCCCTGCGCCCTCAATCCCCTAGACACCTCGATGCCCCAATTCATGCATGAATCCGTAGCAGGTATCCGCGTTTTGGGTGTGAATCCGCGTGTTCTGGCAGAAGTAGTCCGCGTTTTGGGAGTAGGTGAATGGATCCATGGGCTTTGTTTCAATGAATCTGCCACTACCTACCCACCCATGAAGCAGCCTTGTTCGCCAATGAAAAACAAGTGATTCTACCCAGGGCCAACACATTCCAGGTAGGGTCTGGCGTGACCGCCCTAGAGCCCCCAAAGAGGCCCTTGAAAGCCCTGCAAAGCCTGAAAACCCTGAAAGACCCTGAACAGCCCAAAAAGCCCTAAACCCTAAACCCTAAACCCCAAACCCCAAGCCCCAAGCCCCAAGCCCCAAACCCCAAACCCCAAACCCTAGACCTGAAAGAAAAAGCAAAACCTCCACAAGTCCTGACAACCTCAAAGCCTCACAAGGATGACGACCATCATGGACCCTTTACCATGTTTATTGGTTCTGGGTTCCCTTATAAAGTAACCAACCAAAAAAAGGGTGCCCTCATGATAATACGGTTACTGGGCTACGAAGCAAGGATGACGACCATCATGGACCCTGTGCAGCTCGAGTCCTACTACGGTGGCACGCAGGCGTTTCTCCTGGTTCTGCTGCTGCTCGGATTAGGGCTTAGGGTTTAGGGTTTAGGGTTTAGGGTGTACTGGGCCATTGAAGTCTGAACTCTCTCCCCCGCTTGTTCTGTAGGGCTCAGACCACGCTTGGCTTGAGAGGCTCCGGGATGGTTTACTGTAGGGTTTAGGGTTTAGGGTTTAGGGTTTAGGATTTAGGATTTCCGGTTTAGGGTTTAGGGTTCAGGGCTCATGGTCTGGATTCTTCTTCTTCTCCGAACCCCGCATGAGGGTAAATATCGGGATTAGGGTTTGGGGTTACAGTTAGGGGTTTAGGATAGCTAGTGTTCCATGCGCCTCCGGTATGGCTAGCAGCACCATTCCCTTACTGGCTCATCCTGTTTCGTACTTAGGAACCCTAAGCCTAAGCCTAGGAGGTCCATAGGTACTTAGACATAGGGTAACCACAGTTCACCGTATCTTCGGGGACTTCTAACCCTACTCATAACTACAAGTAGCCCCTAAAGCCTAACCGCTAAACCCTAAACCCTAAACCCTCAACCCTAAACCCTGAACCCTAAACTCCTGAACCCTGAACCCTAAACCCTAAACCCTACCTAAACCCTAAACCCTAAACCCTAAACCCTAAACCCTAAACCCTTAGGCCCTGAACTCTGAAGCCTAAAAACTCAGGCTTTTCCGCCTCGCTGGTCTGATGTATGTGCTGGTGGCGCTGGGCGTGTCGCCGGGCGCGGCGAGTTGGTTTAGGGTTTGGGGTTTAGGGTTTAGGGTTTAGGGGCTTCGGGGGGCTTAGTGCTTAGGGTTGTATGCTTAGAAGGGCTCTAGGTGCTCGTGTTTCGGGCTGCTGCTGGGTCCACCGGCAGAGCTGATGACGTCTGCACAGCTTGGCGGTTCCATCCTCTGAATGCCATCGGGCCCCGTGTTCTCGGAGAGTGCCTGCGGACGGGGGACACTCAATCCCCAAACCCCGCAGACTAGTCGCAAGCTGTTCCTCGATCCCGAACCCTCGTTGGGGTTGAGGTTTGCTGGAAACCCCGAGCCCGTACAAAGCCTGGCAACAACCACAAGCCCCCAAGAAGACACGCGAAAGGCCCTGATGAACTCTTCGACCCCCCCCCCCCCCGTTTGTGTCTTTCTTTCATGGGCTTCCTCTGCTAAACCATCCTTCCTCTTTTTTCGCTCTTTTAGTAGAGCTTACACTTCTTTTAATCTTTTTTCTTATACCTTTTCGGGCGTTTAGCTGAAAGAGCATGCAGCGCCCTGTTTTGGTACGAACTTGGTGACCCCATCCCAGAGCCTGCGGGGGGGGGGGGGGCGGTCCCGGGCGCGCGATTTGGGCAACGGAGCTTGGGGACATTTTTTAATTATTCTTGGGTACTATAATTCCTAAGAACTGGCTAAAGTTGTAATTTTTGGGTACTAGAAGTCCCAAGAGCCAGCTAAAGTTGATTTTTTGGTACTATAATTCCTAAGAACCAGCTGAAATTATCTTTGTTGCTAGGGTTCCCAGTTCAGTATAGGGAATGCGAACTCGACCTATTGCGAGAGTGATTTGTCACGTGGAGGGACGTAAAAAGCCTTTCTTTGTTTTGGGGCACGAATCCGTGCGGATCAAGGGTGAGAGCGCAATTTCTACCACGCATGTGGAGAGCCGCAGAACATACTACAATGCCGTCACACAAGAGCCGCACCCTGTGTGCAGAATCAAGACTACTGCTTGTTCAGGGGTGCCTACATCAGAAGTAGGCAACCCCCAATACCTAAACCCTAACTTGTTTTTCAAACAAAACCAAACCTTACCCTAAATCTGAAGTTCCCCATGATTCTTGTGATGTTAAAGTTTAGGGGTTTCGGGGCTTTCTAGCTAAACCCTAAACCCTAAACCCTAAACCCTAAACCCTAAACCCTAAACCCTAAACCAAAACCCAAAACCCTTCTAGCAAGGCTTCATGCTCGGCGACTCGAAGAGGGTCACATGGTATGCTCCCTGGCTTGATTTGTTCCTAAACCTTACAGCCCCGGGTTTGGGTTTAGGGTTAGGGTTTTATAAGCATGGGATTCAGGCTGCAGTCGTATGAACGGGGATTTGGCTGTAGAGTTTGGATCAGAGCGTGGGGCTTTTGGATGCTTTGCTTGCTGGGGGAGGGTCTGTGTAGACAGTGTAGAGATTCAGGGTTTCGATGCCGCTAAATGGAAGGTAGGATGGTCTTTTAAACTTTGTAAATCCTAAACCCTGAGCCGTAAACCCTAACCCTAAACCTTAAACCCTGAACCCTAAACCCTAAACCTCCAAACCGCCAGCACCATGTGAAGGTTCATGCGTAGTTATATGTAGGGTTATACGTAGGGTATGGTTTCGGGGTTTAGGGTTTAGGGCTACTTGAAGGATCCTGGGTAGTTAAAAGTAGGTTCGAGTACCCTACATTCGGTTATAGACAGCTATAATTATAGTTACCCTAAACCCTAAACCTAAAAACCCTAAACCCTAAACCCTAATGACCAACTACCCATGAACCTCCAAGCAGGGCTTAAGAATCCTAAACCCTAACCACTTGCAAGGCTTGTGCTTGGCGTGGTGAGCATGCTGGCGCTTGCCACTTCGGTTGAGGCCAGAATTTTTCAGCTTGCAGACGGAATACTCCAAATTGGTTAAAGTGGTTTAGGGTTTTAAGGGTCTAGGCATAGAGTTTGGTTCAGGGTTTAGGGTTTAAACGGGTTGGAGATTTAGGTTACCTTCTCCACGGCTGAGGAGGATATGCGCTTCAAAAAGCATCGGGTTAGACGAGTGAAGTCGTACGATGTCCCAAGACCCGCAATTTCGGCCGTTTTGTGGGCATTTTATAGGGTTCTTAAGGGAGGGGGGGGGGTTCATGGGGGGTAGGTACCTAGGGAACCTTAGGGAAGCTTAGGTAGCCTTAGGGAGTACTGGGGAGTAATAGGGAACCTTGCGTTACATGCCCCCTGGAACCCCCCTCCCTTAAGAACTTTATAAGCATTTTTTGGTGTCGGCAGATGCATGTCCGGGTTGACGATGCTTGAGCTAGAGGCCTGCACCCTGAACCCCAACCCCCAAGACGTTTCG